GTTTTTAAATATATTTTAGTAATTTTTTAAAGAGAGAAAGGTAGAGGGATAGAGAGTCAGAAACATCGATGAGAGAGAAACATGGATCAGCTGCCTCCTGCATACCTCCCACTGGAGATGCGCCCGCAACCAAGGCACATGCCCTTGACTGGAATCGAACCTGGGACCCTTCGGTCCACAGGCCAATGCTCTATCCACTGAGCCAAACCGGTAAGGGCGATCTTTTGCCCATTTTAAAATCAGGTAATTTGTTTCTTGTTTTTAAGTTTTGGGGTTTTTTGAAGCTATTACTTTTTTATTATTTTTTTAATTCTTTATTGTTGAATTATATATATCTCCTTTTCCCCCATTGACCTCTCCCAGCCCACTTCCCAGCACAGGCCTTCACCCCTCCACCCCCCATTGTCTGTGTCCATTGGTTATGCTTATATGCATGCATACAAGGCTTTTAAGTTTTAAGAGGTCTTTGTATATTTCAGATATAAGTCCTTTATCAGATGTGTGTTTTGAAAATATTGTCTCTCAGCCTATGGCGTGTCTTCTCATTCTCCTAACAGTGTCTTTTACAGAGTGGAAGTTTTTAAATTATAACAAAGTTCAACATCAATTTTTTTTCCCTTTATGAATCACGCTTTTGGTGTTGTAGCTAAAAAGTCATTGCCAAACCCAAGGTCACCCTATATTATCTTCTAGAATTTTTATAAGTTTTACATTTAGGTTTATGATCCTTTTGAGTTAATTTATTTTTTTATTATATTTTTATTGATTTCAGAAAGGAAGGGAGAGGGAGAGAAAGATAGAAACATCAATGATGAGAGAGAGTCATTGCTCAGCTGCCTCCTGCACATCCCACACTGGGGATTAAGCCTACAACCCAGGCACGTGCCCTGACCAGGAATCGAACCTCGACCTCCTGATTCACAGGTTGATGCTCAACCACTGAGCCACACCAGCTGAGCTTGAGTTGATTTTTGTTAAGGATATATGTATGCGTCTAAAATCATTGTATCGAATATGGGTGTCTAATTGGTCCGGCACCATTTTAAAAGCATATTTTAAAATCAGCAGAGGGTGTTGCTGGTGAAGTCTAGTTTGCTTTTGGAATTAGCCATGGCACACAAGTACAAGGAACTCACAGAGTTCTTTTCTTCCTTCTCCAGAAACCTGAAGACCGGCCACCCTTCTCCAGACTCTTCAGTCAACTGGGTGAAATTGCAGAATTGGGACTTTAGCAGAGACTCAGCTGCAGATCCTGAGCCAGAAGAAGTCCTCCCTCCACAGAGCATTAAAAGCTGCCACCAGCCTAGGACTCCCCAGGGGCAGTTGGCCTCTGGTGCCAGTCCCGGAGCTGCCAGGGAGGCAGCACCTTGACAGAGGCTGGCACTCCGCCACCAGCAGGAGCCTCAGCCAATGAACTGGGAGCCAGGCCAGGCAGCGGCCATGTCTCCACCCTCCCTCCAGCCTCTTATCTCGGGTGGTGCACAAACCTCCATCTGACAGCTTTCAGGCAACCTTTCTTGCACTTTTTCTTAGAGAAAGAGAGTGGGTAGGACCCTGGATTGTTGTTTTATTATTATTATTTTAACCATGGATCTAAGGTTAGTGGTCAGGGACTTTTTATTTGACTTGACAACACAAAATCCCAGGGATGGGGCAAGAAGAAAAGCAGCATGCCTCCTGATCAAGGAGAACTGTGAGTTAATTCAGGTCAGAAAGAGCGAGCTCCTCGCATGATGCTGTCAGCCACAGCTTCCTGCCAACGTGGAGGGAGGAGCAGCTGCTCACATCAGAGGCCGGATATTCTGAGAAGCAGCTATGTGAGGTTTTACTCGGAGCACACCGCCACCTTTCTCCTTGAAGGCAGCCTTATGGATTTGGGTGGACAATTCTGATCCCACGGGGGGAGCGTTGGGTATCTGGTGTCTGCGCAGAAAGAGGGCATCTGATGGTAGGGAACCCGCTGAGAAAGACCTTATATTGTTACCACACCAATTGTTCCCCTTTAGTACCGAGCCAGGCAGGTGACTATGCCTCCCTCCCCTCTGCACAGAACGCCCGCAGGCATCCTAGGAGGAAATGGCTGCTTCTGAACACAGACTCTGAGGACTCTGTCACCTGCCACCCCGCCTCCAGGAGTCAGGCCCCTGTCTGCACTCTTCCATCAACAACAGAGGGCAGCCTTGCGTTGTGCAGCATGGCCTTGTAGAGAAATACAAACCTGTTTAAGCCCTAGAAATTCACAGCTTTACAGTTGAGACTTGAAGTATCCCAAAGTTCTGGGAGAGGAACAAGGGGTCTGTTCTTTCCCAAACCATATGGATGTAAACTGAGTCAGGCACTAAGTGAGGTGCTCGTGTAGCAATGGCCACTGTGGACTGAGCACCTAAATAGGCAAAGAGAAAATGTACTGAGCTATAAGCCTTCTCTGCAATTCACCCTGAGTTCACCCCATTCTACAGACAGTAAAACTGAGGCTTTAATAAGCCAGGACACCTGCCAGAAGCAACAGAGCTAGGAAATATAAAGGCCAGGATTCTAGCGCACATCTGTCTGACTCCAGTGCACAGTTTCTTTCTTCCTGCTCAACACTGTCTTTTACAGAGGATGAAAGGGATTGCAGAGGAGACAAATACAGCAGAGGGGAAAGGCAGAGAAAGCCAACGAAGACATAAACAAAGCACCACCAGAAAAAAAGGTTGCTCCTATGGTTGGCACTGTAGCCCTCCCACTCAGAATAGGATCTTCTCTTTCCTCATCTCTAGCCTCCCTGTCGTCAAAGTTAATGAGTTTGGACTTACCCAATTAACCCTTTGATTCACACAACCCACCAGAGCCATGTTGCACGCAGCCATTTATAGGGGAGCTTCAAAGCAGCTTGGAAAGACTCTCCTGCAGAAGTGTAGAGGCTCTTTAATTATTCCAGTGTTGAGCTGGCTGCGGTCTTCTGGGACACTTTGTGGGAAAGGTATTCCCTGATGTAAGAGAGTGCAATTTTCCTCCAGTGTTTAGACAAAACTCTTGGCGTGATTGTTGGATGGTGTTGCAATCAGCTCTTTCTTACCCATGTGACATTTTGACTGGCTGGAGAGTCAGATGTTAACTATAATGATTGTGAAACTGGGAGCCCCAAGTAAACGCTGTCATTCAGAAGATGATCTTACTCAAGTTATCCAGAATCACCCCTGTGTACTTGTTTGTACATTTTCTTTGGGAAACCTTCATTAGAGAGGCTTTCTCATCCAGCCTAGAAGGAAGACGTCAGAGGTGACAGATTTCTGTGGTCTGGTTTAGAAAACTCCCCCCTTGCATGGTATTACCGTGTCCAGGCTCAGAGTCATTGGGGCCTTAACCGAAGGTGTGCAGAGAGTTCACCTCCCACTGCCCTATCCTGCAAAATGGGCTTTCGGCCTGTTGTTATTTTTAGTTTTCTGAGATTTTGAAAATGGTGCCATGTGTTCCTTGGAATGCCCTTATACAAGGTTTGGGTTCTGGGTGCATTTTGCCTTTTGTATCTTTGGAGACTATGTATTTATATATGCATAGGTTGGATATTTATTAGTGTACAGTCGTGGCTAGTGTTCACAGTAAAAATATTACCAATATCTCTTACCCGTCATAAAGCACACAGAGTTAACGGTGGAATCCAGCAAATAAAGCTGTCGTTTTAATAACTAGAGTGTGTATGGCCTGGGTTTCATATTTGTCCAAATGTCAAACAGTCACAGATTCTCCTTAAATAAACATGGTTAAATGATTTCATGTTCCACAGACAAGTAAAAACTGTATGTCAGTCAACATTTGTTCAACAGGTAAATATCAAATGCTTCCTATGTTCCTATGACATGCTGTGCTGAGAGCTGCAGAAAAGGCACAGTCTTTACCTTTAAGAATAGTAGGTGGGTGGCGGGGGACGGGGGTCCTAATATATGGTGACAGGAGAAGATTTGACTTTGAGTGGTGGTCACATCGTGCAATATACAGAGTTTGTAACATAGAAACCCACACTTGAAACCTATATGTTCATGTTGATCAATGTCACCCCAATAAATTTAATTAAAAAAAAGAAATGGCATGTATGTTTGGGAAGGAAGACATATAAACAAATAAGATTATGTATAATACTAGAGGCCCAGTGCACGAATTTGTGCATGGGTGGGGTCCGGCGGCTCGGCCCCAACTGGGGAGGATCCGAGCCAGGCCTGTTGGGAGGAGGAGATGGTGAGAGGTTGGCCAGCCAGCCCGCCCAGATCGGGGCCCAATCAGGGCTGGGCTGGCTGGGGGGAGGGTCCGCAGTCGATTGGCTGGTGGGCCCCACCCCCAAATAGAGTGGGGGAGCAATTGGCTGTCAGGCCCTGCCCCCAATTGGGGTGGGAGGGGCCAATCGGGTCAGTGGCCAGGGGAGGGGTTGTGGGAGGTTGGCCAGCCAGCCCCAAGTCATTCTGGTCGGTGCAGCGTTCTGGTGCCTGGTTTTTTATATAGATAGATAGCATTAGAGCAACAACAAAAATATGGTCAAAGAAGAGAAGAGTTCAGAAAACTGGTGGAATCTAACACTTTTAATAGAGGAAGGTGATGTCGCCTGCTGCTTTAAGGGTGGTCCCTGGACCAGAAAGAGCAGCACGACCAGCTTGTGAGAAATGCATAGTCTCCGGCTTCACCCAGTGACCTGCTGAATGAGAATCATCATTTTAACAAGATCCACAGGAAATTCTATGCACATGTGTTTGGGAAGCACTGCCATAGGAGATATAATGTCTGACTCAGTTTTGAAGATGAATTATGTGTTTTTTTTTAAGACAAGCAACTGGAGGGGAAAAAATAAAAATAAATAAAAAAATAAAGTTAAAAAAAAGAGATAAGCAGTTGGGCAGAAATAAGAGAAATACTTTCCAGATAGAGGGATAGAGGAAACAGAATGTATTGGGAAGCTATTATCAATTCACCATTGATGTGTGCACGCGTGCGTGTGTGTGGTCTGGGCAAGGGCGAGGATGATAGAAAGGGTAGGCAAATTGAAACCGAGGCTATAAATCTAGGCAAGGACCATGTTACAAAAGACAAAAAAAAAAATTAAAAAATTGGAACTCTACCTATAGAAACAAAAGTTATCATTGAGCAAGGAGAGAAAGCCAAAAAAATTTCAATGTGTTTTTATTGATTTTTTTTTTTAGAGATCAAGGAAGGGAGAGAGAGAGAAACATCAATTGGCTGCCTCCTGCATGCACACACCCTGTCAGGGGACTGAACCCACAACCTGGGCATGCACCGTGACCTGGAAATGAACCGTCAACCTTTTGGTTCATGGGACAATATTCAGCCAACTGAGCCACATTCGCCAGGACAAGAAGGCCAAATTTGTGTTTAAAAATGTATTCTGGAAGCAGCATATCAAGGGGATTTGAGAGAGGCAACCTGGTGGAAGAGAAACCAATTTGGAGATGATTTCTGTCTTGCTCCCAGTATCAGATTATTGTTCAGACTCATTCACTGTCGTCTGCTCTGTGGGCGACATGTGGAAATTATAATTCAGTCTGCAGTCACAGTTGGACAGAAATAGATGATCTTCCCCTCCCCCTTAAAATCTCAGGGATATGAAAGCCAGGTTATTATATTTTGGGGTATGAAAGCCAGGTTATTATATTTTGGGTGAGTTGAGCCCTCCCTGTACCTTTCAGTTCACCAAATGCCAATGTCCATTTCCCTGCAGGAACCAGTGCAGGCTCCAGAGGACCTCTAGGCACAGAAGAGAAAGCCTGTGGCTTCACACCATCCTTCACGGGACTCCCCTCTGGCCTGGCTCCCGCTGGCAAGTGATCCAGACAGGAAACTTGTAAAGGGGGTAGGTGAACAGACTGCTTCTCAGAGCAGTTATCCTGAAGACCCTGCTCTCTCTGGAATCTTCCAAAGCTCTGAGGTCCACCACTCTGAAGGGGCAGAATACACTCCACCCAGCAAGATGGGCCATGCACACTCACTGTGAGAGGGTATGCATGGGCAGAGGGAGCTGTGGATTCCCTTGTCGGGTTCAAGAAGGCGGTCTGATGATCAGGAAGACAGGGTTGGAGTTGAAGCTGCATTTGCACAGAAAGCACATATTTTCAATTAGAGTCTATGTTTATTTGCAGGGGCTTTGAGGGAAGTGCACTGTAGCCTGCTCCCCAGAGCCACCCCTTGGTGGCAGCACTGTGTGTGTGCATGTGTGTGCGTGTGCATGTATGTGCCTGTGCGTGTGCATGTGTGTGTGTCTTCAATGACTTTGAGGTTCTCTCCAAGTCGTGGTATGTAGTTGGCTTGGGAAATAACAGAAGCATACGCATACTGCTAGAAGGAGTTATAGAGAGCCTTCATTTATTTCATAAGTAGTTACCATTCACTTGCTATTGCCTAGCACTGTGGTAGGTGCCTAAGATGAATAAGATGTCAGTTAGCGATCAAACACATCACACTCACATTAAGCTCATGCAAGCAGGGCTGATTTACAAAAGGATAATTTAAAAATAGTGTGGGTCAGGTTTGGGAGAACCACGGGAAGTGGTACCGAGGAAATAACAGCCACGGAGCAGTTACCACACTGAGGCCTGGAGAGCAGGAGGGGAGTGGCCATATGAATGTGGAAGCAGAGGGCCAGTGGGAGAAGGCTGCCTCCAGAGAAGAGGACCTGTAGCGGGGACAGAGGAAGCCCCAAGCAGCACCCCAAGGAGGAAGCCAGAAGAACAAATATGCTGACCCCGCTCTCCTCCCTTCACCCCATCAACTGCTGAGGCTTCTTGTTAACCAAACCAATGGAGGCCAGAGGGCAAGGAAACCGGAGTAGGGCAGTCCACAGAGGTCAGTCTCCAGGGTGACTGGAGCAGGTGAGGAGAGTGGAGTGGTCTGGAGGAGTGAGAGACACCAACCTGTCTGTTGCCAGATTACATCTCCCAACCATTCTGTGGGGTTGACTGTAGGGCCACCTATGCTAGCCTGAGCACACAGCAGCACCGACCCCATTTTACCTCAGCTATGTTTTTACATTCTAAACCCATTTGGAATATGCTCAGATCCTCCTTATCAGTTCTTATCCAAAATTGCTATAAATAGTATGTGTTTAAATAAAGACGGAATGGGGGGGAGGGATCAAATGTTCTTTGGTATAAGTTATGTGTAAAAGAGCTGACCTTCAAGGGAGGCCAATTCTCTGGAAATTGTGGGAAATGAACAAAGTGAAGGAAGACAGCAGAGAAGGGGGGGAATGCATTTCCAAATGGCCCAGGATGGAGCTGCAATGTTTCAACAGCTAAACATCCTCAATATTCTACATAATAAAGCCCTAATATGCAAACTGACCAAACAGCAGAACGACTATGATGCACACCGACCACCAGGGGACAGGCACTCAACGCCAAAGGTGCCCCCTGGTGGTCAGTGCACAGGGGGACCTCCACTCAGCCAAAGACGGGCTCACAGCTG